CTTTCAAGGCTTCTCCCAGGACCTCTCCCTCCCTCCTCTAGCCCCCAAAGCCCTTACCCTCTCCTCTCCCAGCATCACCCTGTCCCCCCTCCCACTGACACCTCCCCTTCTGCCCTTTTCCTCAGTCTCCACTTGGCCCCCTGGCATGTGTGTCTCCTCTACCCTGTCCCTTGGTGCCTTCCCTTTTCTTCTCTTGACCTGCCCCCTTCCCCTTCCTCTCCCTACCACCTACCTTCTGCCTTCCAGTTTGCAGGGCTGGAGTCTGTGACCGGGCCCCAGCTGCTTCCAGGGCTCCAGACCACGTGCCAGGCCTAGAGCTGGGCTGCATGGCACAACTCTGGACCTAGCGCTTTTAAAGTCCTGGGCTGTGATGTCATGCTATGACCGGGCGTCTCCCCTCTCACCTGTTGTGCGGCTTTTGAGCACGCCGCGCATGCTCGCTCTTGGCCCCACTGTGCCTTGTACATGGCCGGTGTGCGGCGGTGGGGAATTTAAAGTGTGGGGCTGCAGCGCCTCATCACAATCCCCCTCCTTCAGCAGCCGCCAGCCGGCCCTTTAGAGGACGGCCCACTGGGAAATTCCCAGTGTCCTGCCAGGCCAGTCCGCCCCTACAGTCTTCTCATCTCTTCTTTCCTCTGGTCTCCCACCATGCAAAACTGCCACGGGCATCATCACAAAATGCAAGCACCACATCATCAAACTCAAACTTCCACTGGTTGAATGTAGTTTGGCTGATGTGAATCCTGCAGTTGCACATGGGTTTGTATCTTGTGGGGACGCATTAAGTGAGCCCTATTTTTAACCAAACAAACAATGCACTACAAACCTGATTATCATATTGACACAGAGGCTACAGTTTAAGCACCCATTAATATTCAGTGTTCAGTCGCCCAGCCCTATTAAATGTTTAGATTCCTATCAGAAAAGATCCAGCTGAGTGAGGACAGAACCTTGAGATTTAGGATCTATAGGTCTAAAGCCAAGCCCTTCGATACAACCGCATCTGCTCTAATCCCACTGACAGAGACCAGAAGCTTCAGGATCTCTACCAAGCATTTATAAACCTCAACTACCCACCCAGAGAAATAAAAAAGCAAATTGAAAGAGCCAGACGAATACCTAGAAACCATCTACTTCAAGACAGACCCAAGAAAACCAACAATAGAACACCACTTGTCATCACCTACAACCCCCAACTTAAACCTGTCCAACACATTATCAATAAACTACAGCCTATATTGGAACAGGATACCATACTCAAAGAGCCTCTGGGAGACAGACCCATAGTCTCCTACAGACAACCACCTAACCTCAAGATCATTCTTACCAACCACCACAGGACATACCACACTAATACCAACCCTGGTACCTTCCCTTGCAACAAACCCCGTTGCCAGCTTTGTCCACATATTCATTCTGCTGATACCATTATTGGACCTAACCAAGTAAGTTATAAGATCAAGAACACATATTCCTGCGCATCCAGAAATATAATCTATGCTATCATGTGCCGAAAGTGTCCGTCTGCTATGTACATTGGACAAACATCTCAGACACTTCGCCAAAGGATTAATGCCCACAAAACAGATATCAGACAAGATCACAAAGAGAAAACAGTTTCTTGCCACTTTAACCAGAAAGGACACTCTCTAAATGACTTAGCCACCTGCATTCTGCTACAAAGACCTTTTACATCTGCACTTGAAAGGGAATCCTCTGAACTGTCATTCATGTTAAAATTCGACACTTACCAACAAGGACTTAACAAGTCTTTGAACTTTCTCACCCATTACCAAGACAGTTTCCCCAATTATCACCTGTAATACCATTAACTCACAAACATCCCACTCTCCCTACCTTTAATATCAGCAATTCACAGACACTTACCTTCCTTCCTCCCCCTTCCCACCCCCCCGCATCCCCCTTCTGTTCTGCAATGTGATTTGTCCTTTTCATATTTGTTCATTTTTTTAAATTGTATCCTTTGGTATATATGGTTGTGACTACTTTCTTCCACTATTTGATCTGAGGAAGTGGGTCTGGCCCACGAAAGCTCATCATCTAATAAACCATCTTGTTAGTCTTTAAAGTGCTACATTGTCCTGCATTTTGCTTCAGGATCTATAGGGACCTCGACAAAGAAGTCATTTAAAACAGGGATAGAAACGTAGCCGTGTTAGTCTGGTGTAGCTGAAACAAAATAAAGGACTAGGTAGCACTTTAAAGACTAACAAGATGGTACTAACCATCTTGTTAGTCTTTAAAGTGCTACATAGTCCTGTATTTTATTTAAAACAGGGACGTTCTTAACTTGAGAGAGCTATACAGCACTGCAACTAAGTGCCAAGAATCCAAGACAGGCAGCAAATAATCCTAGTCTTGCTGTTCTCATGCAAGACTTCTTCCAATGACTGAGTCAACTTGGAATCACTGTGGGGAAAGTAAAATAAAACTGACATTGGACTCTATTCCCTGCCATTTCTGAAATGAACTGGAATGTCTCATCTAGTGCCAACTAAAAATTGTCAGATGCCAATATCAGCTCTCACCCCCATAGCTGAGACTGTAAACACTCATTTCACTTGTGAAAATTTAAGAAATTATTTTGTTCCTTTGTCTCTTTCTAGTAGCACATATCACCAGGCATTAGAGCATAGGAGTCCTTCACTTTGTTACTTCCAGCACGCATGTGTGAAAAGCAGGACCTCAGGATTTTCAGAGAAACCTTAGGGAATTAGAGATCTGAATCTTAAATCTTACTGAACTTTAATAGGAGTTGGGTACCTACCAGCTGGTTAGGAATTTTTTGTGTCAGCATATTTCTGCCTAAAAAGGGAAGGTTACTCACCTGTGCGGTAACTGGAGTTCTTCAAGATGACTGTCCCCATAGATGGTCCACCTTAGGTACTTCAGCACCGCTAAGCCTTTGATCGGAGATTTGTGACAGCAATGTCCATGGCCGGTCGCAAGCACAAAGAGCCAGTGTGTGTTCTGAAGAGGATATTGCACATACGCAGCTCCCCCCCCCCACCTCCCACCAGTTCCTTCTCTGACCTGGACATATTCTATTCTAAAACGAAGGGGAGGAAGGTGGATGTGATCCAGACATTTGCTGAGGCAGAATCAAGCCTTGGCCAAACAATACCTTTGGTCACACATGCTCAGCAGCCGAAGCTCCCACCACCTATTACAAATACTGCTTTGCAATCACCAAGGTGGAGCACCTACAGGAACAACCATCTCGAACACCAGTTACTGCACAGATGAGTAATCTTCCCTTCTTCTTCGAGGAGTGTCCTCATGGGTGCTCCACCTTGGTGACTGCAAAGCAGTATTTGTAATAGGTGGTGGGAGCTTCGGCTGCTGAGCATGTGTGACCAAAGGTATTGTTTGGCCAAGTCTTGATTCTGCCTCAGCAAATGTCTGGATCGCATAATGTGGCATGAAGGTATGTGTTGACACCCATGTGGCAGCCTTGCAGATGTGTTCTGTGGACACACCCTGTAGGAATGCCATTGTGGTTGCCATTGCCCTTGTCAAGTGAAACCGCACAGTGGGTGAGGGTTCTCTCTGTACTAGGGTATATGCTAGTTTAATGCAACTAGATAGTCTTTGTTTTGATATAGGCAATTCCTGCAATCTCTCTGTAGATGATATGAACAGCCTGGGAGTCTTTCGAAAGGGTTTTCTTCATTGTAGTTAGAAGGCAAGTGCTCTGCGGACATCCAGGATATGGAAAGCTGTTTCTTTGTTGTCCTTATGCTGCTTTGGGAAAGACCGAAAAGTATATGGGTTCATTGCAGTGGAACGAGGTGGGTACTTTTGGGAGGAATTTGGGGTGAGTCTGTAGAATTACCTTGTCCTTATGGATCTGCCATTAATGCTGCTATTTCACCAACTTGTCTGGCAGAGGTGATCGCTATAAGTAAGGCCACCTTCATTGATAAGTGTAGTAGCGGACAGGTGGTGAGAGGTTCAAAAGGTTTACCCATCAAGACTTTTAGCACTAGGTTCAGGTCCCATGCTGGGATAGGGTCCTTGCACGGAGGAAATATGTTGTGGAGAGAGTAGTGCCTAGGGACCAGCTAAAACATTGCACTCTTAGTCCAGTAAGGGACCATGGGAAGCACAGATCAGCACACCCTAAAGAGATGAAGTATTGGGGAATGGTTCTAGTCCCACAAATTGAATACCAAGGGGAACAGAGTGTGGCAAACCCAAACCCCAATAACCAGATGCCTCAAATTGGCATGCTATCATCTAGGGACACAGGAATAAAAATTGTGGGTAAAGTTTTAAGGAGATCTCACAACTATTAAGGGTGTATTGCCTGTTAGAGATAATTGTTATTGGCTCTAGTGCTGTAATGAATATTAGCATGTCTCGTATAAAGAAATAGACATAGGATGTTACATTTTAAATGTTCTTTTGTTAATCGTTAACATTTTTAATATAGTGTGGTTTTGGTATATGTTGTTAATGTGTACTGCTGTGAATATTGTGGCTGTGACAGGATTTTAGCAAGGGGGGAATGTAAGGAAACTGTTGGCCCCTTATTAAAACTCATTGTGGGGGGTGGTTGGTTGGCTAATGCCCAGTACCAAAAGGAAGGGAAAGGATGAATGCAAAGTTAGGACTCTGAGACTGACAGTCTCCAGGAACAATGGGAAGAGGCCAGTGCTCCAGGATAACCTTACTGACAGTTCAGGCTGCTTAAAGAGGAAGTCAGGAGGCGCGTGCGTGCGTGCGTGCATGTTCGTTCTGTCCTCCACATGAGTTCAATTTACCTGGGTACGGCAGAGTTGAGCTAAGGAGAGAGCAAGAGCCTGAACTGAGTTGGGGAGCAGAGCCATGCCAGCCAGAGATACAGCACAGTGAGCAGATCAATGCTGGGAGCAGGGATGCAGCCACAGAGCCAGACACACAACACAGAGATCAACTCCTGAGACAGAACCCAGAGAGCAGTCTGGCTGGGCACAGGGCT